TACAGAACCTTGTAGCACCCCAGTGTTAACATTGTAACTTGAAAATGTACTATTTATTCCTATTTTTCCGTCGCAAACAGTTTCTAATCCATGAAATTACTTTGACTCTCATCCTGTGGCTTAGTTTTCGTAAACTTTTGTGACTGCAGTTTAATGAATATTTTTTTCTGGTATCATTTTTGCACCTTACTCTCTTCATAAAGCTTCCACCAGTTGCTTTGAACAATGCTGCCTGTCTCTTTTCCTCCTGACTAATTATGGGTCAAAGAAGGAAAAAAAGGGTAGAATTACTTGCAGTTGAATATACCTAAAAATATACTAGGCTTAGGAAAAGTTGAGATGCTTTAAAAGAGAAATGCAATTTTGAAAGTGAATCAAATGTTGTACGTCTTACACTGTGACAGCATGAAGGGAAAACAGTCTCTTGATATTTCATGCATTTTTTTACAAAGTCGGTTCAAGATGTTTAAAATTCAGCATTTTTTTTTAATGCTCAAGCTATGAATTCTATCTCCCCCACAACTTTAAGAGAACTGACTAGAGAGATATGAGAGCATAGGAATACCACTACAAAGAAAATTAATGCTGCTTTTAAACTGGAATTTTAATCAGGCTGTGGGCTCCCTCCTGCGTTCCTTTTGACCTTGTTGTTTCTTATTGACTATTCAGTTGGCTGAGCGTAGGAAGCAAAGTGCTGTTAGGGAAACTCAGAGCCCCATGCATTTGACAGATAAGTCAGTTTTGTTTTCTACTACTGAACACTCATTTTGATGTGCGTATATATATATCTCAAACAATATTTAAATGTTAGAAGCGCACTCATTAGTGTCTTTACCACAACACTGCTTGATCAGTTCCATCAGTCACTGTTGAAAACTCACAACCTTGCCTTCATGGGGAAAGAAGGGAAGATGAATCATATTGGAAGGCTAAAACATAGAAATAAGACAGTCCAATCCAGATATATTATTGTAAAGTAGACTTCACAATTTTTTTATCTTAGGAATATACACTTGATGTGTTTTTGTGATAGTCACCAACTTATTTGTCTGAATTGTGCAGTCAGGTAATTAGTGTAGCTGCAGCAGTCCAGGATTTAAATCTATTTGTAATAAATGCAGTCTTAGCTAATTTTTTTTTTAAACTGCAGTGTAATCATTTGAGACTCTATTAAGGGCTCTGAATTGAAATTACAAATTGTCAAAACAGAACTATGAAATTTGAAAACCTATTTCTTTAAGAATTTAAAGTTTCAGAGGAATAGCCATGTTAGTCTGTTTCAACAGAAATAATGAGTCCTGTGGCAGCTTAAAGACTGACAGATTTATTTGGGCTTAAGTTTTCATGGGCTGGAACCCACTTTGTCAGATGCATTAACAAATTTCAGTTCAGACAGTGTTGCAGTGAAGTTGCCACAGTTCTAAGCTTTGCAAATTTTGAATGTATAGTTGCTTTCAGTTATTAGTAAAAGCCAAAGTAATAAGCAGAAAATATTAGCTGTTGAGTGAAATCTCTCTAAAAAACTTTTCCTGCAGGACAAGAGAGTGACATCATATCACTCTGTGTCCCCTGGAGCCTTGACCATGTGACCACTCCGTGAAATAGCTGGTGGTGGTTCCATCCCCACGCACCCCCTGGACTAGCATCCACCTGCCTCTGGATCCTGCTCTTACCCTGCCCGGTCCATGCACCTGCGGCATGGCTTTGCTCTGTGTGGCCTAGTCTGGTTACAGCCCTTGGGAGCCATGCTGCAGGTGTCTCCCCACCCCCCACGTGAGTGGCGCCGGTGTGTGCTGGTTACCTAGGCCAGAGCACTCTCCCAGGAGCTCTGCCTCCACATGCCCCTTGAAACAGTGTCCACCTGCCTCTGGGCCCTGCCACCAGCCTGCCTGACCCACATACCTGCCACGCAGCTTGGTTCTGTGCAGGCTGGGCTCAGGCACACTATCCTGGGCCTGCTATGAGTTGGGAATGTCTTGCACCCCGGACACTTCCCCAGCTCTCCGGAGCAGCTGCTCTGTGCTCTGGGCTCGCCACAGAGCAAAACTGCCCCAACTGGCCTGTGCAGAAAGGCTGGGCTGGAGGCAGGCTGTTGCTCCCGCTGTGGTGGCCAGGGCTGTGCTATCTGGCCCAGTGGTGCTCTGGGGGTGGGGGAAGCACAGCTCAGCGAATTCATGGGAAGGAGCAGGCGGCACATAGAGAGGGGGGGAGGGGGATAGGGTGTATGTGGGGATGGGCAGTGCAGTAAGGGGGGTGGTAGAGATGAGGGGGATATAGGAATGGAGGCAGGGGGTGGGAAGGGTTAAGGAAGGATGAGGGTGTAGGAATGGAGAAGGGGATAGGGCTATAGGCAGTGTGGGGAGGGAAGGGGTGCAGAGCTGGGGCTGGTTTGGCCTTGGCCCTGCCCAATGGCTGGGGGAGGGAGAACAGGGGCTGGGCTGGCCTGGCCTTCACCCAGCAGATGGGGGGAAAAGGCGAGGCCAGGGCTGTCAAGCCTTAGCCCTACCTGGTGGCCGGCTGCCTACCCCCAGAGACTGGGCGGTTGGTAAGCCCAGCAAGCAGGGGGTACTGCTCTATATTGTCTTTAAATTACAATATTTCAAACTGCAACATTAAAAATCAAGATGCAAATAAGAATGGTAGTGGATACTTCATTTTTAGAATTGTCCTTCCGTTTTGTACCTACAGTTTTTTTGTCACAGTGGAAGCCATTTAGATGTCTGTGCAATTGCAGGTATAAATAAGATGGACTTAAGTTGCAGTTTGTATGATCAATTCTGACTCCATTGGTTGTGTATCCACACCATGCCATTCATTTATGTCATTCCCTCCCCCAACATCTGTGCAGTCCTGTATAGTGACCCCCAGGCTTTGGGTTCTTCCCTCCAGGTCATGAGAGAAGCAGAGGACTCCCTTTTAGATGTATGTGAAACAGGGCTCCATTAGCCCTATTCCTTTCTGTCTTCACTTTCTGTGCTCCTCTTATTAGTCTTGAGCTGGTGAGCTTATAGGTGTCAGAATGAGTGCTGGTTCATCTACTGTCTCTTAGCACAGTAATATTCGCCCACCAGGGAGGTTTTTCTATCCTCATGCCTATCCTTTAGAGAAGTCCCAGGACCCTGTGTTCACTTTGGCCCACCAGAGGATTCTCTGTCCTCCACCCATGGAGTCACATAATTATTTCTACCCACAAGTCTTCTCACCATGGGCCTGTTTTTGTCTTCCTTTTCCTCCAGAACTAGAAATCCTGGTTCTTCCAGCCCCTTAAGTTTGTTTTGGGGTTCCTCTTCTCTCTGCTGGTGGAAAAAGTTCCTGTGACTCTCCAACTCTTGTCAACAAACTAGGGTTACTCCTTTTCCCCTAAGCCTTGTACTGGAGTACTTGTTTCTCCCCTTCCTTTCATTAGGGTGGTCATATTTTCCTCCTTGTTTCCTTTGATCCAGGGCTTTCTGATTCTCCCTTCTCATACCCTCTTTGTCTCTTCCTTTTTTCCCCTAAGTTGCCTATGTGGCAATCAGGTTGTCCTCCTTTTTGCAATGTTATGGCTTCTGTTGTTTTCTTCCAGACTTTGAATATCTGACCATAGCCAGCAAGGTGCGCCCAGTCAGTTAACTTTTGGAGGCCTTATGGGGTATGTATGGCCCTTCACCTACCCAGTGGCATACAATCTGTATTTTTATGCCAATAGGCCTACCCCTTCCAGAATGGCTCTCTTTACCACTTCATAGTTGCAGACCTGTTTCTTGCTAAGGGCCATATAGGTGGCCTAGACTTCTCTTGATAAATAGGGCTCCACCCAGAAGGACCATGATCTCTTATCCTATCTGGCTCCTGTTGCTATCCTTCAAAAGTCACTAAAATGTATCTGTATCATCCACTGGGCCCATCTTGCACAAGATAACCTCTTTGAACTACTGTCATAGGACTCACCAGATTGTGTTGTACACTGTTCTGCTCAGCCTGCTATGCAAGGCATGATTGCTTTTCTATTTGATGGAATTGCTGGAAAGCGTGAATGGTCTCGTAGACTCTCCTCCATTACCCTGACCACAAATCATCCCAATGGCTCTCCATCTGATACTCTGCCATCTTGGATGGGGGAATTCCAAACTTGGGCTGTGTCCAGACTCAGGGTTTTTTTCGAAAAAAAAGTAGCCTTTTTTCGAAAAAACTTCCCCTGCGTCCAGACTCAAGCCGTGTTCTTTCGAAATTAATTCGAAAACGCGGCTTTTCTTTCGATGGCGGTAAACCTCAATTTACGAGGAAGAACGCCTTCTTTCGAAAGAAGGCGTTCTTCAGTGTAAATAGGGCTTCTTCGAAAGAGAGCATCCAGACTCACTGGATGCTTTCTTTCGAAAAAGCAAGCCGCTTTTTCGAAATTTCTCCGTGCAGTCTAGACGCTCTCTTTCGAAAGAGGCTCTTTCGAAAGATGCTTTCGAAAGAGCCTCTTTCTAAAGAAGCCTGCAGTCTAGACATAGCCTTGGATAAGCACCCACATGTTGTAACGGCATATTCAGCTCCTGCCTTCTGGTACCACAGAAACCATTCCGCCTTCATTCACATCATGCCATTTATTTCCTCCAGCAACAACTCTACATCCCCCATGCAGCAGTGCTAGGCATAGTTCTGTTCTCTGTGCTCTTGGCCCTTTCCCCAGGGCTTGAGAGAAACGGGGTCTCCCTTCCGAGCTAGTTCTGTTCCTGTTTCCCTCACTTCCTTCATATGTCCTTTTTATCTGTCTTGAGCTGATGTGCTAAACTGTCACTTGTGTGTGACATCAGAATGTCATAAAACTTCAGATCTTAAGTGTGTTAATTCTTCTTTAAAAACACAGGCATGTGGATATAACCATAGGATTATAGTTATCTGTTGGAATCAAAACTAAATGATTTGGTTAAAAGCTAAAAACTATTAATTTGATGAACTGTGAATACTATATTTGGAACAACCGCTTACAAATTGTTTATTTTCTTTTAATAGTATGGTTTCTTTCATTACAGGAAGATCTGACTCCAAAAGATATTGAAAACATAATTGATGAACTAAAGGCTGGAAGTGTTCCCAAACCTGGCCCAAGGTAACTTGTATTTGTATGATATAGGAGTGAGTAATAAAAGAAAATCTATTTGGAATGTAAGCTATTTTTAATGTTGGTGATTAGTTATTAGAAAAGTTAATTGATCACCCTAGAACTGAAGACATGAATTCGCTCAACTACATAGGCACTGCAGGCTTTTCCACATTGATCTGTTTTATGCATAAACCTGCACCTGGAGAGGCTGTGTGGAGAGAGGAGAGGAAAGCTTCATTTCATAATTTTTCAGTCCATAACCTTATTTGACATTACCAATGAAAGTGCCAATTGAGATGTTGGCTCTAAAGTGACTACATGCTTAATAAGAAGTAGATCAAAAACTTACATTTACATAGATCACCCAAAACACTACCAGCTGGTTGACTTTTGATCCCTACAAAGGTAGATTTAATTTTTCCCTTCTGAAAGTCACTTCTGTGCATCTTTTTCTTTCCCTCTGTTCCTGTACAATTTTACATGCATAGGAAGATGTGTGAATGGGAGAGGTAATCGCCTAAACATGAGTTCTCAGTGTCCATTTTATCCTTAGTATTTTATTTGGTGTGCCCATTGCTGGAATATTCTGTGCCCAATTCCGATGTCCACTGTTTAAGAAGGTTGTAGATAAATTGGAGAGGGTTCAGAGGAGAGCCAGCCATAAGAATGACTAAAGCAGTGTTTCCCAAATGGTGTTCCGTGGAACCCTGGAGTTCTGTGAAGTGTAAATAAGGGTTCCGCAAGAATATTCCATTACAATAATATTTTATGATTTTTAAAAAAATATTGTGATTTTTTTTAAATATGTGCAATTAATCTAAATGTTGATCTCATGACCTTGTTTATAATTTGTTTATTATTCTCCTTACTTATTTGTAGTCTATTTTTTCAGCTTCATATATTAGACTGCTATTAGGGGTTCTTCAAAATTCTTTTGAGTTTAAAAGGGTTCCGTGGCCCAAATAATATTGGGAAACACTGGACTAAAGGATTAGAAAACATGCCTTATAGTAAATGGATTCAACACAACCTAGTTAGCTTAACAAAGTATGTTAAGAGGTAACTTGATTGCAATCTGTAAGTACCTATAAGGGGAACAAATATTTAATCTTTGTTCTTCTGTTTAGTAGAGAAAGGTATAACACACAATCCAGTGGTTGGAAGTTGAATTTAGACAATTCAGGTTAGAAATGGGGCATGTGTTTAACAGTGAGGGTAATTAACAAGGGGAACAATATACCAAGAGTTATGGTATAGATTCTTCATCACTGGCAGTTTTTACATCAAGATTGGACGTTTTTATAGAAAAAGATACGCTTCAGGAATTTGAGAGCGTTCTGTGGTTTGTGCTGTACAAGGTGGTCAGACCAGATAACTGTGGATCTAAGATGGTCCTGAAACAAATAATCAGATGTTGTCTTTGAGTGTTTCTAGAACAAACAAGCCATAGATCTAACTTTTGTATCTATGAAGCGTATGTATTTTGGTTATCAAGTTCCATATTTGACATTCAAGTTGAATGCCTTTACTTCCTACTAATGTGTTGAGATACTATGTTCTGTTGTTCCTCTTCCCCTTTCTCTCTGTCCATCCTTCAGAGAAGCACCGAGTAAGACTTATGTCATCTGTAAGTATTGATGAACAAATGTGATTGCTCTTTACCTTTTCAGAAGTGGACGTTTTTCTTGTGAGCCAGCTGGTGGTCTTACTTCTCTTACTGAACCACCCAAAGGACCTGGATTTGGAGTTAGAGCAGACCTCTAAGCATTTATGTAATTAATTATAAAAACATAAGCTGTCTAAAAATAAAACAGTTAACTTCATTAAAATGGCTTTAATTGTATGTTTTAAACTTTTTAAAAATGGAGAATAGTAACATCATTGAGCTATATAAAGATGCAACAGCAATAAAAAAAATCCGTGCAAATTGAAAAAAGCCCCATAGATTTCTAAACTTCTCCAATTTGTAAAGGTGTGTGTGAAACAATTTGCCTTGCCCTGACCTTTCATCAAAATCTTTGAGTGAAAATCTTGCACTTAGATTTATGAGCACAAAAAAAATATAATTTACTACTTTATATGCTGAGATGCTGTCCTGGGGCATTCAGCACATAAAAGTACATATGTCTACACGTAGATTCCTTTTAAGGCATTATGCCCAACATGATTATATTTACGGAGCAAGGGTTTGGGGAACAATGGAAAGTAGGTTATGATGGGTTCATACACTTGATAGAATATCACCACTCAACAGAAAACCTTAATATTGCAGGGAAGAATTGGGGAGAAATAAGTAGCACATTTCTCTGTGACTCACTTGCGACAGCACTGTCCTTTAGCTTACATAGCTCTTCTACCTCCCTGCTATTTATGCCCTGATGTATTTATAGAAAGCAATCATATCCTCTCTTAGCCTTGGATTGAAGTTTTAATATTGGGGCATGGGATTGATTCTACCAAAGTATCATCTTCCACTTCTTTCCTGCTCAACTTCATTGATTAGGTGTCAGAGTTAGTCCTTCATTTCCTACAAAAAACATAAAAAACTGAGCCAAAATAGCTAGGTATGTAGTTTATTTCACCAGATTTCCCTGCCTCATTCATCCTCCTAATTAATGTTGAAATTTCTACTTTTTAAAGATTTACCAAAAAGGCAAGTGTCCTCACTTATTACAGATATCTCAAATATAGTATATTCCTACTGATGTAAAATATTAAACTTATGTGAAATTTAGAACCTGAATTACAAAGAGCTGGGGAATGGATATTGTAACTCTGAAGTGTTCATTAGTGAACAATAACTTAATACAACTTTGAAACTGTACATTTAATAGTATAGTACTGTATGCATGATTATTTTGGTTCCAAATGAGATCTGTGATTGATTGAAGTTCTCCAGTAACATCAGGTATGCCTATATTACATTCAATTTATTTTATAGTATGTTTTTAGAGTATCTTTGTTTCAGAATTTACAGACCATTAAGATAAATCAGGCAGCTTACACCTCTCAGCGGTATTGTTTTAGGGTTTTTCTAAACTCCAGATATCACTACATCCACATATACGTGGTTCATATATCAAGCTTTTCAACTGTAACAGGAAGATCAATCCTGGAGTACTCTTCAATGGCCAAGGGTACATTCCAGAACCATAGAATACCTGGGCTCTGGCTACTACTAATTCTGACACATCTTAATTGATCATTCCAGAAGGTTCCTGCATATGTATGCATGGCAAAGTGCTAGGCTTTCAAAAAACAAGATCAACAATGATTAGAGGATCTGTAATTTCATCAATCAATGACATTAAAAGGGGCCTGCACCCCCCCCCCCCCCCCCCCTCACTTTTACACTGGCTAATAAATTCAGAGGGATGTCACTTTAACTATAATCAATTCACAAGTACAAGTCAATGATGGAGTGTGCTTTTGCACAACTGAAAGCAGAATGAGATGGCTGTTAACCTGCAATAACAGTTCAGTGACTAATGTAGCCATTAGCTGCCTGAATATAGTCGACACTCCTTAGACTCTACATTTAGGTGCCCTTTTGCTATGTTGTTCCTTAGCAGCTGTTGCTGTTAGTATCCTCTTGACTAAAGGTAGACAAAGAATTGAAGGTGAGGGACAGCCATGTTGTGGGGGGAAGAGTTTAGGAGGGGAATCTCAAGTTTGGGGTGAATGGGGCAGGGAAACTCTGGGTTTAGCAAGGTAGCCCCCAATCTCCAAATTGGTTGAACTGCCAGGATTCATGCTCCATACTGGCAATGGATGGATGGGGAGGGTAATGTGCACAGCCTGAAAAGGAACAGATGAAGGACAGAGGAAAGCTTCCAAATGTGATTTCACTGCTCCTCTGAACCCCTCTCTCCCCTTTCTCCCCAATACCCCCCCCCCCAAAATTCCTCTTCCAGTCTTTCCTCCGAAATTCCCCTCTACACATGTCCTCCATGCAGGCTTTGTCACACACGGCAACTGGACAGGCCCTTGTGCACCCTGAAGTGTGCTGAATATGCAGTTTTGTGGGGGGCATTGCTTCTACATGGCCCACTAATCTCTGCCCCAGATGTGACCTCACAAATGTTGCTGTTACCAAGTGGACAATTCACAGTAGAGAAACTGTTCCTAAGGGAAATGTTGCTTGTGATTGTTCTTCTAAGGTGTTACTGCAAATAAGCATTTACTGGAACGTGCAATCAGAGGAGGCACTGTGACTTCCAGCAATCGATGAAGAGCCTGACAACTGTTGCACCCAAAGCTGTCACTTATATTAGCATATACTGTACAATGTTTTCCCAAGTTGTGCAAAGTTTCAAAATGATGGGGAGAATGGGTCTAGAGCAGTGAAGTAAATATTTATTGATTTTTTTATTATTTTATTAATAGTGTAATATGAGGGAATGGTATTGAAGAGTCTGTGTGTGCTTTAGTGGAGATGGTTTTATTTGTTATTTTTGGTGAGGAAATATATAGCGTAGTTAAATGGTACCTTGATGATAAACATGATTTGATAAGCACACTTTATTAAAAACAAAACTAATGACTAGCTGTAACAAAATTTAATCTATATACTCTACAAAGAATACAGCTATAAATCCAGATTCCTCAAATCCCTCTAATTAGAATTCCCATTTTCTGTTCCCTGTAGGAAAGTGAAAGCTATGAGAACAATTAAGGGAGCCACAGTAAAGGAAAGTCAAATAAGTAACATTGTCCTATTGGATTGGGCTAACATGTTGTGTTTTTTCCTGTGCCCATATCTATTTATTGAAAATTTCTTAATGGAATTGCTTGTTCTCCTTTATCTCCTTATTCCAGAAATAGTAAGCATTTCCATTTTCCTGCCTCAGTCTGTCTCAATGTCACATTTTATTCACACATTTACTTGGTTTCCAAGTCTCTATGCATGACTAGAACTAAGTTTCCCTGCTCTTCTGTTTTCATGTACCTCAGTTGTGATGCATCTACTGCTGTGGATCCCATTTGTTGGTGGTAACATATACTCCAAAGTAGCCATAGTCACTGACATGAAATAATATTGCTATGGCAATAACACGTCCATTCCTTGAATGAAATAAAAGTAACAATTTCAATTCTGTTTGATTCCAATTACATTTTCTCTCTGGACTAGAGCTGAAAAAAAACTACTACATTCTCACACACAGCTTCCAAGAGTAAGGATGGAGATGTTATATTAATGCAGCCCAGAAGCAGGGGTACTTAAATGATTACCTGTTGGAAGACAACAAAAACAACCTTTTGTAGAGGGTCACTACAAGGGAAGAAGGCAATTTCTAAGGAACTGAGGGGAAAGGCTAAGGCAGCTACAATGGATTGCCAAGCTAGCATATGATTTTGAATTTTTCCCATATAACTGCCATGGGGTGGGGGAAAATAAAATTAACTAGAATTTCCACTTGATTTCTAGTAATGTATTTAATGTTAGGCAACAATCATGAATGGCAGTGATTCCCCCCTCCCCAACTTGCACAGTTTATCTGTACTTCTCTACCAGTATTCACTGATTAAAAGGCAAAGCTAAATGCAACATTTAAATCTGAGCAGAATGCTAGTTATGTTCCCTACCTGGCATATGTGCCATATCTGCCTTATATGTAAAATGTACCTATTATGTGGCTTGAAATGTTGCCTTTTTATACTAGTTTTTAATTTCCGCCACTGCCATTTTGCTTATCTGGGCTGGATACAGCCTTCCACTTTTAAAATTC